CATATGGGGCCGTTTTTTTCTTTATTTCGTCGTTCAGTTTGTCCAATAACGCTGCATAATATTCTCCCGTAATTGTTCTTCCCTTCTGCAGGTAATCGATGAAGATTATGCAATGCGCATCCCAAAAAACGGATAACCTTCCCGGCCGAGCGTTGGTTTTTTGGCCGCTTTGGTCGGTTTTCGTGGCTTTTCAGCCACTCTGCAGACTGCCTATTGAACTCAGGCGTATGGTAATGGACTCACGTTTCATCACTCGTTCATCCATCGTCACAAAACGTCGAAAAAAGTCCGCTCGATTACGCTGCAACAACGCCAAACCGACTGTTGAATCATCAACGCGCTGCTGTTTTTGGTCGATGGTCAGCAAACGCGGCACCCATCGTGTCGATAGCTTTTTCATCTCCAAAACATCGTGCAAAATGTATCCCGCCCGTTCTTTTGAGATGCCCACGGCCTCAGTTAACTCGCGCAACTTCACTTTACGGTCACTCAAAACGATTCGATGCACTTGCTTTGCGATTTCCTCATTCGTAGCCTCTTTTGGCCTTCCAGAGCGAGGTGCGCCTTCGGTGCTTGTACGATCCATTTTAAATTCACTAAACCACCGATAAACTGTTGTTCTCGAAGGAGCAGATGTGGGATAACATTTCTGCAACCATTTCAAGTATTGTTCAGAAGTTTTTCCCATCAAAAATCGATGTTTGATCAAGATGCGATATTCCTGTTTTTCCATTTTTTTTACGAAGGCGAAAGTAACGCCACTTAAACGACTGCAGCTTGTAAACGAATGAACGAAATGTCATGAAACTTCATACATAAACTAGTGACAGATGAATCTCTCGAAATGAATCATGTTCATTTTTTAGTGGCACCACCTATTGAAAACTCCCGGGACTTTTCAGCCCATGTAGTATATTTATAATATGTTTAATATATATTTGTAGTAGGTATATTAGGCCGGTTCTAGATCAATTCGTGTTAATGTATATACGTATACGCGATGTGCGTGCGTGCGTGCGTGCTAACATTCTTAATCTTGCTGCAAATATTATTAGTTTCTGTTTCAAATATGAAATTAAATTAATAACTTAATTAATATTTTTAACTGAATATCATTTTATTTTAGCAGAATATTTTTTGCTGCAGTGCCTATATTTTACCAGATAATAAACTGAACTTTAGCAACGACTTTAATTGTTCTTATTATAAGGAAACATTTTAGCTGCCACAGTTATATTTTATCTGCCTTGGCTAATCTTTTCTCTGTGTGCATATTCAGACAATTTTTCCTTTCAGTGTATATAATAGCAAAGACGAATGTAAAACCAATTAATCGTTTAATTTTATATATTAATAATAATGTTACGTTCAAACTTGTGGAAATTTTAAATTTATGATCCTACTGGAGAGAAGAAGAGCGGGAATGGTGAGAGTATCTGGTAGAACGCGGTCAGACTCTTGTCTCGCAGGTATCCGCACAGAGGCGAGTACCGCGAGTCGGACGCACTTTTTCTGTGCTCGCCTCGGAATATGACTCAATGTCCTGAAAAGATGCTACCTGTTTCCTGTATTTGACACCTGTTTCCTACGAGCGATGCGATCGTCGATCCGAATTTAGAGTCAAGAAATCTAATCTCTTTAACTCGGGAATGGATCATGTGCGATTTCTGAAAAGGGTAAGGTTAAACGACTACGAGGTTTTTAGGGTTTTAAAATTAAAGAACGAGAGAAAGACATAAAATTGTTAGTAATGTTTATTGTTCTTGACCGTTATCAATCGAAGATAAAGAACAAGATTATGCCTTAATAAGTTTATTTATTATTATATAAACTAATTTACATATTACAGATCAACGCGATAATCTTTATTAACTAATTAACATTTGACGACTATTTAACAATTATTAGGTGTACAACTTTGCTTCCGCTGTTTTTTTTCCGAAATTCGAGACTTTATTGTAAAAAACTGGTTATACATTTATGATTCAAAGTATCCATCGCTGGCCACTACTTTCTCCTATCTTTCAGGCAGCGTACGAATCCCGCGTCGAAAAAACTGATCTTTTGAGGCGATCTACGAATCGATCCAATTTTTTACTTCTTCATAAGACCGGAAGTTCTGGTTAGCCAGGCCGTGTGCCATTGATCGAAATAAGTGATAGTCAGAGGGAGCAACATCTGGAGAATACGGCGGGTGGGATAGGACTTCCCATTTCAACGTTTCCAAGTATGTCTTGATCACTTTCGCAACATGGGATCGAGCATTGTCATGCTGCAAAATCACTTTATCTCTTGTCTCTCGTTGTATTGCGGCAATTTGTCTTTCAATGCTCGGCTCAAATGCATCAATTGCGTTCAATATTGATCGCCTGTGATTGTTTCAGTCGGTTTTAACAGCTCAAAATACACTACGCTGAGCTGGTCCCACTAAATACAGAGCATGATCTTGGAGCCGTGAATATTCGATTTGGCCGTCGACGTGGAAGCATGGCCGGCAACTCGCTATGATTTTCTGCGCTTGGGGTTATCGTAATGAACTCATTTTTCATCCCCAGTCCCAATGCGATGCAGAAATCCCTTCCGTCTTTGCCTTTCAAGCAGCTGTTCACAAGCAAACAAATGCCGTTCAACATCTCTCGGCTTCAACTCGTACGGCACCCAATTTCCTTGCTTCTGAATCATTCCCATGGCTTTGAGGCGTTTTGAAATGGCCGATTGAGTCACTCCCAATGATCGTGCCAATTCTTCTTGATTTTGACACAAATCTTGATCAAGTAATGCCTCCAATTCTGCATCTACGAAAATCTTCTCTCTTCCACCGCTATGCCGGTCTTCGACGTCAAAATCACCGTTCTTGAAACAAAACCACTTACGACACATTCTTTCACTAATAGCGCCTCACCATAAATATTTGAGAGCATACGATCAGCCGCAGATTTCTTCATATTGAAGTAGAAAATTAAAACCTCCCGCAAATGACGAGAATTTGGCTCGTAAACTGACATTTTCAATCGAGAATAACTTTATGATGCAGACACAAATCGACTAATGTTTCTATGGAGTTATGTTGACAGATGTCCAAGTTTATTGTATGACATCTATGATCTATTTATTTCGACCATCACTTACCGCTAAAGCCATCTATAGGAAAATGGCAGAAGCAAAGTTATACATCTAATATTTAAATTTTATGCACGTTAGTTGGATTAAATCACCAGAGAATGAGAATTCAGGGCAAACAGAGTACACAGGTTTTGCTCAGTCATGGATAGTAACGGAGAAAGGAGGAAAAAGATTGAGAAAGAATTCCACCGGGACTAAATAAGCGTTGGTGGAATCCGGAATAAATACCGAAATATAGGAACAGGGAGGTTGGCCGGTAATTCCATGCCGGATTTCGTTTGGCTCGAAATAATGAAGCTCGACCGTAAAGGTCCTCTCGGAAACAAGTGTGGTAATCCGCGGGAATTGTCTGACGAGTGACTCAAATGATTCACTCTCTTGAATGCGGAAGTAGGATCTCGGTGGTGGTGAAAGAATTTCTTCTAGGAATTCACGCTGTCCGTGGAGTTCGTCGAAGACGGAGTTTTTCTGGAGAAAAATGAGATGGAGATGACGGATGAATCAAGTGTTACAGGAGGGATGTCAGGGAAAATTCGTTCCGTTAGAGCGTCCGAAAACGCGGATGACGGAGATCGAGGAAGAGGTGAAGGAATTCGACGGGCAGATAAAGGAGAAGGAGGAAGTAACGCGTTATCTCTAACGCGTTTAGGTAAGCAAGTAGAGCCGGCGAAGTCGGTGGTAGCGAAGGTTGTGGAGACAATGTGTCCTCAGCTGGGCGACTCCGATCGAGAACTCTCAAGGTGTTTTTGATACGACACACATATATATATATATATATATATATATATATATGTCGAGATGGGACTTACTGCTGCTCTGCAAGATTAGGCTTTGAGGAGAACTGTCAAAGGTCCGATTTCTGTGATTGTTCAACGGCAAGGCTGACCCAGCGGTTTGGAGACTTCGATTACTTGAGTCACTTGAGTTATTTGAGTCATGTAGTAAACGAGTAAGATCGCTCGATCGAACTGATCGCGGCTCACCATTAAGATCGATGAAGTGATATAATTGCGAATCGGTAGAGTGTCGGCTTGCTGAATGACTTGTATAGTTGCGAACCGGCAGAATTTCAAGCTGGAGATGGAGCTTGACTGTCTCTCTGTTCGTGAAGGGCCTTCTTTTTATATTCGCGAGTTAGTGGTGCCGAATGCAGGCCTCGCATATGTTACTGGACTAATCTAGGATTAGAATTAAGGCTATCGGTTGTGAAATGGGATACTGAGATATGTGTCTAAGACAACTTTTGTTATCCACAACTGCCGGATGTTCAATAGTTTAGAACAACATGTGTCATTTATTACCGATAACTGCTGTTTCAGTTTGTAATTCTTAATCTATTTATTTTTTCTGTTCTTCGGGATAAAGTTCATCTATTCGGCACTTGGTTCAAATTTTTGATCCAACAACTTCGTCCCGAGTGGATTATTAGTCTTAAAAAGGCGAATGTTATTCAGCTCGTTACTATTGTAACTCTCTATGATAGAAACAGATGATCTATCGTTACTTTTTTTACTTAATAACTTTTATGATGATGACAAAAATTCTAATCGAAGAAAAGAACTGTGGAGTCTGAACGTAACAATAATAAATTTTGAAATAAATAATATCGGTTCTAATAATTAAATAAATTAAAACAATATGATATTAGGCCTAAGAGCCTATCAAGATAATGTGCGAGTAACAATATTATTATAAACAATCTAAATTCGTACATACATTTTGATATAATATTGGGCTAAGAACCCATCAGAATAATGTGCGAGTAACAATATTATTATAAACAATCTAAATTTGTACATACGTTTTGACCTCTATAAGTCAAATTTCAATGTTAAAGAATAAATTTTAAAATGTTACCGGTAACAACGCAAAATGTTCAATCATTAAAATATAAAAATCGCATGTTGCACTCGCATGTTGGAAAGAATGTCTTGACCTCCGTCTTCTAAAACCGGACACGGTGGACACTAGGGAGGCAGTGCTCCCAACATAATCTTTATGTTACACTTACTGTTCTTCTTCTGCTCTTATATAATGACGACTTGTGCTTCACGCGATTCTTTTTTTTGTATATGAGCGATATTATAACGTTTTGTTTAAAAATATAAATAAACGTTCGATCGAATGTTGCGCGTCTACTTTACTGCTCAATTCATCCTAACACATACTTCGTGAGGCGAAGCTTTGACACGACTTCTGGGATATGAAATTGGAATTTAAAGAAAGTTACTTTATGTGAAATCTTTGCTTCCCGAGAAGGTTCACAAGATCCTTGGATTTATTTTTTCACGTAGTACAGTATCCCTTTTTACTGAGTCAGAAATCCAAATAAGAGATCTAGAATAAAAAGAAGAAGAAAAAGAAGAAAGAAGAGCGTTTCGTGTAATCACCCGCGGTGAAACGCGCTAATGCACGTTCTTCTCTTTTATACGCGACCCGTAATTCGTTTAATATCTTGCATTATAATTTAAATGCTAACCATCAAATAACATTTCGTAAAGAAAAAAAATCATCTTAGAAAATTCCTTAAGTTAATAATACAATGTTTCAAGAACAAACGATTGTTCTAAATCTCACTGTACATCACATTTTACACACATAAGCACGCGT